CAAACTAACGGTTTAATTTTAAGTTATAGTAAAACTAACAGCAATATTTTATTTTGTGCTTAATTGCTTCGTATATTGCTATGTAGACGTTTATACAAAAGTGATACTCGAAAGTTTTAACTAATATTGCGAATTTTTCAAATAAAAAAATTTTTAAATAAGATGTGTATAAGAGACAGAATTAATTCCCATTGAAATAATATAATATACAAACATACATATATATATGTACATATATATATATATATGTCTATAAACGAAATCAGTAATTTTTAACAATATTTCATTCTATGTTAGGCTTGGTAAAATTATTTTAACCCGCAAAAAAGTAACCGGTACTAATTATCAGAAGTTAATAAGATTTAAATTCAGAATAATTTTCGCGAATGCAGCACTGCGTTTACTTCTCTTCCCTTTGCGAATCGTTCTAGAGTACCGGTATGGTTAGAGTATAAACGGAAATCTCTTTTATACTTACGCGAACAAGTGGAGGAAATAGAGAAAAATAACGGGATCTTCTTCTATATGTATGTATTTGGGGACGTGTTAAAGCTTATACATATGTATGTATATAATAATTTTAGATGTCTGCACTTTGCACACCTACATACTATAGATACAAATGTATGTATGTATATAGACAGTCAAATGCATAAATATGTAAATTAGTAATAATATAATAATGCCTACAATCATCTCAATTTGAATCTATAAATAACTGCAAACAATTTACCATTATCAAAAATAAATAATTTTTAACCAATTACTTGTAATTCATTCTAACCTCTAAAATTCACTAAGAGGGTTTTACACTTGGTAACTAATATGATATATGGGCATACGCATACGTCCCCATATGAGTGTATATGGATTATAAATACATCCATATGCCGCACAAAACGCAATACAGTTGCTGCAATATCTAAAGCTAGCTAAAATATCCAAATACACTTACTAACACTAACAAATCTCTGCTGCAAATACTGTAGGCGGTAGCGTCCATTGATTCCAAAACTTACGCTGGCAATTGCTATGTCTGCTCCTTCGATGTAGCAGTGCTAAGTGAAGAAAACACATATTCACACAATATGCATAGGAGCCGACCAGCGGTCCTATCGGAATTTAAACCGCGAAATATATGGTATATGTACCACACTGTCCAGATAACATAACGCACGCACCGTATACAAAAAAATGCACAAGGAACTAAACAACTAACTAATATTTAAATTTAAAAACACTACACACTTTTAAATATACATATTTAACTTAATTTTAAGTAATCAAATTCATAAACGTTCGTTTTACCAGTGCTATTTATTCTTTTCGCGGCGAAGTTGTCAAGTCTATGCTTCGTAACTTTCGTACTGCAACAACAGGTGCAGAGCTGCATTGTTGGCATCTGATTTATATTTAATTTCGAATTTTAACATAAGTACCCATTATACCGGTTACAAAATTTTAAATGAAAACCATTAATAAAATAGTTAAATTATAGAAATATGCATTTAAAAATAATATAGAATTCTTAATATTTTATTAATGGTTATTATTTATTGAAGATTTAGATTTATGTACATCTTGTGAAAGTGGTTAATGAATTGAGTATAATATCCGTGTATAAAACTTCACACCCTATTGCATTGTCTTACATGTATTTTGAAATCAAAATCAAAAAGCTTTGACCAATTTCCAGCGTAACATGATGATATTTAAAGTTATTCGAATTTTTGATTTTTAATATGAAAATATTCTCTCCCTAAAATATAATGATTATTTATAAAATAAATTGTAATTTTTACATGTAATTTAAATTTAACCTGGTATCCGGTTCTATTTACCATAAGTGATTAATATTCAAATATAATCTAATAACATCTAATACAGCGCTGTGTCCGTGTGTCTTCCCTTTGACAGTTACTCTGTATTACCGGTACAGTACAAACGGAAATCTCTTTTGTACAAACGCGACCAAGTGGAGGAAGTAGCGATAAATAGCAAGATATACCGCGAAAGCGAGCGAGCTGCAATCGTTCTACATGTATGTACATATATACGTGTAGGTACTCATACTTATGCGCATATGTATGGGGATGTAGGCGTCTGTGTCGCAAAAAATTCAGTACTGTTGCGCTAAGCTAAGTTAGTCGAACAGATTTACGCATACTAGCAAAGCTCTGCGCTAGCTCTTGCGCTAGTCAGCAACGACGGTAGTTTCTAGAACTAACGCGTAGTGCGGCTCAGCTGTACCTA